CACACCGAGAAAAATAACAGCTGTTAAAAACAATAATGCTATTTATCAATTTTATTTTTCTAAACCAAATTGGCAAACTTTCTCCAATCTCGGTGTTTTATTTTTGTAACATTCGGCTGTCGATCAACGAAGCTTAACTAATATCACCAAGCAAGTATATCTTTATACATATTGGTAGTTTTATTTTAGTAGGTATTGCACGGGTTTTTATTTTCATACATTTTTTAAACGATTTCTCTATGGCTTCTGCGTTTCAATTATCCAATGTGCAGTACAATAATGATTGTGTGTACCTAACCTTGTACAGAATAATGGCTATTTTATTTGCACAAATTAATAATGCGTAAAACTACTGTGTGGTTTGTAGTTTTTACCGTCGCCTCTTCAAGAGGAACGGAAAGCGGCAAATTTTATACAAATAAAAACTAAATCACAAGAAATCACTTTCCTAAACTAAATCAAAAAACGTTCAATTTAAATACCTAAACAAAATAACTATTTACATTTTTATGCATAATCCAAATGGCCCTTATACCATTTATTATACTGATAGATCTACATAATAATTGTAATTTTTTAGAACTTTTTTAATACGTTATCACTTAATAAGACTAAAAAAAAAAAATTTCAATTCAAGTACATAGTATAAATTGAATATTTTCCAGTTTCAGCATAAAAAAATATTGTTTTTCTCCAGCTGATTATATAATTTTTAAATAAAAATGTAGATTTAAAAAAAAAATCGAAAATAAAAATACTTGTTACTTAAATTTTTATCAGTTTTCTTCAATCAATTCACCATTTCAATGAGGGCAATCTTTATAAAAAATGATAACGCCTATTGTAGTATTATAATGTTTTCTATTAAATTCAACAAATATATTTTTTTATTATTAATTTTCTTTAAGTAAATCGATCGACACTTTTTGGCAAAAACTTAAGGGGAACGGAAAGCGCCTAATTTTATACAAATAAAGACTAATTCAAGAAATCTCTTTCCGAACCGATTTCAGAACGATTTGTTTGTTATTAAGTTTAACATAGATCTCTATGGGGGCTGAAAGGCCGCCATATTTATTTCTGTTTTTGAAATTGTATTATAAACGTTTATATTTTTACTGTTTTTATGTTTTTTTTTCTAATAAATCTTAATAGTCGGCACGTTGAAAATGGCTACTAAAATCGGGGTTTGGTCAAATATTGCCTATCCTTTGCCCCTTAATAAATAACGCTTTCCGTTCCTCTTAATAATATTGATGAAATACAATTATTTATTATTTTTATCTCGTAAGCTCTTATGAATTATTTAAATTTAATTTTCGTTCCCCTATTCCGGCAATGAAACCGGTGAATCCCACATCCGAGTCCGAGTGGAAGCAATACTGTTAACATGCGCATTTTCGAACCTATTTGAAATGATTTTTTATTGCTTTATGAACATAATATAAATTATATTTTCGCTCCATCACGATTGCCGACTTGTTTTCGTTTATTATGTTTCTTCTCTCCTGTACCTCAACTCGAGGTCAGAGAAGAGGCCGTTGTTAAATTTCCACAGTAATGAATGACCCTCCCCCCCCACCCCTCGTTCTCTGTACGATACATACTTGGGTTTATGTCTATAGGAATTAATCGTTTTTCCATGCTGTATAGCTTACAGCGTGGTGGTGTTCTGCTTGGCGTACAATAATTAATGTAGTGTAATATTATAGTGTATCAAAGATCGGTCGGCGGTTCTCGGTTAACGTACCCAACCTAACCCATTAAGAGCTATATTATAATGAGCAATCTTCGAGTAAGTAGTGACTTGATTGTTTTCTTTGTATATATATGTATATATATATATATATATATTGTTGGTCGTCGAAAGTATATACTGAAACGGAGAAAAAAATGTCCACGTTAATATGATAATTATATTATTATTATTGTAATTGACCGTGTAAAATTTGTAAACGTTTGTCGATTACCTACTTGTAGACAACGCTATTAATAGTAAAACGCCTAAAGTCGAACAAACTTACAAACAGCTACATTAAGATCATATAACGTCGTTTGTACTCGGTAAAGGGTAATTGGTGGAAATCGTTGAAAACTCGTTGGAAACGAGGGAAATAATTCTACAAAATACAATCCGCCTACCAGTTACTATAATTAAAACAAGAAAATAACTCTATGTATACAATGTACATATTATAAAATAATATATTATAATATGATAGTCTATATACATTTTTTTTATCGTAGACCGTTCAATGTGGTACAGTTTTGTTTAAAAAAAAAACAAAAAATATCTACTTTAATTACCACGGCATAAATAGTGTGGTAACCTCACCGAATGTGCTATGTCACGCTATTAATCAAATAATATAATATCAGCTACGGAACGGTGTCTTTACAGTTAAATCGTTTTGTGTTTATGGTAGGTTTGATAATAATATTATGTAAGTATAATGACATTGACAAAACGACGGGTCGGTTCTTCGAGCAATAATTGCATTCACACGCGGTGGTCTTGGTCTAAAGTGTAATGTGAGAACTCTGAGAAGGCACTAAGAGCATTGGATGCAATGGAGATTTCAAAAATTATGCATAGAAAATATAATATTAACTTATTCGTTGAAAAGTAAGTCATACCACATCCTAATTATTAATCACGGAACAAATCTAGTTGTATTTACTTTCTTGTTATTATGGTGTTTAATGTCAACTTGTTCTAATTAATATTGACAACAACAACATGTGATACAAACGCCGGGATCAGTTTATTAAATTTAATATAGAAAACGATATTGAAATCCAAAGTCAATTCGATTTTGAACTATTTAAAAAAAATGTATAATACAAAAAAACTATGAGAAAATGTGGCTTATAGTTAACTTTTGAAGGTATACCACAAAATGTAGTTGTAGTTCCTAATTGGATTTGGAGAGAAGAATAATTTTCACAAAATTTATTTTACCTTCAAAAACATTTCAAATGGACTACCACCGCATAGCCGGGTCTTCTAATTTGGTGTTTATAATATAATATTATTTGGCCGTTTTTTAAGTATCATATTACATTGTTTCCTAGTATTCTTCGAAGAAAACTTATTATTTTTTTAACCAGAGTTAAAAAACCTGCATATTATAATTACCTATCTTACTATTTTTGTATTTATAAATTTCGTTTATATTTTATTATATCTAGTTGTATTAACATACTTAACAACAAAATAGATTTTATATATTTGGTAAAATTAATGTTTATTTTATAAGAAACATTAACTTTTATTAGAACTGCACAACTTGACTAATATATTACTGTGTGCGACAACGGTGGTTTAATCGATTTGAAATCTAAGTAGTATCTAAGGCTAAGTAGTTATAGCATCCCCCCCCATGGGCGCCCATCAGGGGGATCTGCCCGGGGGGCCTTTAAGAATACAAACGTATACATAATAATAATATCATTAATTAACTATTCGATAATGGCGATTGAAAGTTACTAAATAGATACTTTTGAGCCCCCCCTTCCTCCTTATTTGACATGTGTAATGATATTGTCTCATTTTTTAGGGACTAGTAGGTAAATAAACGACAGTGCATATTATACAAATTACAAATTATACAAATCTCGCCTAGTATAAAAATAAAAAATGTATAAATACATTATTATAATAATAATAAATACTACATAATTTGTACTGTCTCTTATCTAACGGTCTATCTGACGAGTGCGGTTATTGCGTTATGATTGATAGTCGACAATGGTGACTAAGCGTTCTAAGTTCGTCTTAAACTGTTGAATTGTCCTGGTAATGTGGAAAACAATCGATTACAGTAAGACATTCTGATATTATTTTAAGAGGGCGTTATACACCCAATTTCTCAGCGTTAAAACATACCTACACACAAAATGCGTTTTGCTCGCTTCGTTATGATTTTAGACCAAAAAGTCTAAGATGGCGTATCCATTTTTTTTTGATAAACCTAATATTTAGCTTAATACATATCACGGTTTAACCTTTAAATTAAAATTTTTCCAAAAATTTCCTATACCTAACTCCTTAGTCCTTAATAAATATCACGTGCTCTTAAAGGTCTTCTTTTAGATTTTTGAAAATATTTTGTTTGTAATTTTTAATTTTTTCGTCTGGCAGCAAATATATTTTTAATTAACGTCTTCCAACAATTGTACACAATAATATATTATGTGTACAATGCTATTGCTATTTTCTATACATGTGACAATTTATAAAAAATATGATTGCATCTATGAAACCTTCGCGTTATGCCATCGATTAAGAATTTATTTTTAAAAACTACACTTTGTTTTGAGCAGTTTGAAAAATGGTTTTTGTGTTATTTTCCCAAGCAGCCACATTCAACTAGGCGACAACCACGGATGGTGATGTATGTATATGGTTTAACGTTTTTGAAAAATACTTAATATGTAATTCGTACTTAACAACCCCGTGGCAAGATATCAGCACCGAAATGGGGTGACGGCGGCGCCCAGTGGTCTGAGGATAAAATTTAGATGGCAAAAATAGGCTATAAGAAATATTAATTTTCGCCCCCGAGGTCTCATCAGTGTAAGTATAAAATTTCAACTTGATTACATTTTTTGAACTGGACAAATTCGGTTTTTCCCGTTATTTCGAAAATAAAAATGCCAAAATTTCATCATTTTTTTTTTTGACCATTAAAATATTTATAAAACGTTTTATATATTATTGTCACGCTAAATTAAGTTCTCAACAATTGTAAAATATAATGTAATTGAAATTTTTTTTTAAGACTGGCGAAAATTTACAAAAATCATATTGTCATAAAAAAAAAAATGGAGTTTTTAAAATGTTTTTTTTTTGTTTAAATGCAACCTCGGTGACCTGTTGTAGAGGAAAAAAAACAGCTGTTCGCCCTGCCCCTGCCCCTCGTGCCCTTTCATAATATTATCATACACATTACACACACCAGGTCTATAATGTGCCACAACCGGTCGCGTTTGGTGCCGCCAAAGACAGACGGGCGCAGCAGCAGCAGCAGCGAAAACACAACAACAGTCAGCCGCAGTCGACGACGGTCGGTCACACCAACAGGGTTGTGTTCGTTAAACGTTGTCTCGCTTCAACCTGTTCGCGCCTTCGGAGTCCGAGTGATTTTTTTTGCATAAAAAACATAAAAAAAAAGAATTAATAATAGCCTTATTGTACTTTACTTTCGAGGTGTATAGTTTTGCGCGTGAAGGATCTCGCCGTCGATTGGGGAAAGGAAAATCGTGTTTCCTATCAAAAATTGACGTGAGTACAAGACATGCTAAATTTGCAAAATTAAACTTTTAAACACTGTTGGACGTTTTTTTTGCTTTAAAATTCGGCTCCAAGATAAAATAATTATTGTATTCGCATGATAATATTAAATCTGTCGTTGGCGCTGAGATCCGGGTGGAACGGTTGTGAAAATGCCAAGACCGCCACAACCAGGATTTATGCTCGATTAACATTTTCTCTGATGGCATGATAAACATGATATACAATATATATTATAATATATACATTATAAATCGCGTACCGGACGGCGTGTTATTGGCTAAAATAATAATAAGAATAAACGACGGCTGCAGCCTCTCCATTGTACTTTTTATATTGTTATTGATTTATCATACAAACCGATATTACCTACTCCGGTATACGTGCCCAGAAATTAATTACACCTAAACGCGGTAAACATATTGTCGGTTCGTTTTAATTAGATTTTTTTTCCCGAATATAAACCGCCAAAAACATGCTTTCTTCCGTGTGTTGACATTTCATTTTCTTCTGATTATAATATTGTAGCATGTCGGTGATTGACACAAGGGCACGTGACTAAACCGATATAGATTTCTCTCCTCGGTGTGTTGTAATTCTCGGTTTTGTTTGCTCGAATCCGGCTGTTGATAATTGTTTTGTCTTATCCCAGTAGCTAGCCAGTGATTTGAGAACCCGATAAGGTTTCTTAGATCAAGTCAAAACCCATCCACTGAAATTAAAATTGTCTCTTACACTGGTCAACAAAATTGTGTAACAAGTAAGGGGCTTACACATTTTGAAATGCCTGTCTACCTTCATAATAAAACCATAATATGTTTTATTTCGATTCAAAGAGTTTTGTTTTCCAGTAAAGCGATTGTGTTTTATGTTTACCGTGTTGAGCGATTCTTGAATTATGTCAAGAAAATGTAAAAATTACCCTGACAACTTTTGTTATAATATATTTGTGGTGAAATTACATTTTAAAGCTCATAAGGCAATATTTATATTGACACTAAACACTAATAATTATAATCCCATTTTTGGGATAGAAACTGTATGTTTGGAAAATCAGACCAAATTATTCTAATATCAACTCTATTACACTAAACCTTGTTCTTAACATAACTAGTTAAATGTTTTCACGGTTACAAGCAACTCAAGTATGGATATTTGTTGGCCGAACGCAGACACATTTGAAATCCATACGGTAGTTGTAAGTGCAGGCTTGCATAGTGTTCGTAATATATATGATAATGTAATGCGTTTATTATCTGTAAACGGGTTTCCGAAACTATTAACCTTATTACATTTGGGTACCGTAAAAAGTCAACGGATTACTGTCGGTTAAATAACATTATAGTCGTTGTACACCGGTAAAGTGTTGATGTCGGGCAGCAATTACACCAGGTTGTTTTTATGGGAACAGTTCCACGGAGACACTATGATGCAGTGCGTTTAACAAACGTTACACGACACCGAAAACGAAAACAACTCAATAAATTCGAATAATGTACATATTTTGAAATGAGAAAAATCAAAAAAACCTCTACACTCCAGAGTCAGTCTCGCAAACGTGCCGGTGTGTGATGATCACGGATCTAAATGTTCTTGGTAGTCGGCGATTTTATCACAACAAACACATCATACACAAAGGATGCGTTTGTGTCCGCAAGACGTTTATATAGCGGTCCGAAGAAGTCTCGTACTTTCGGGCGACTGGTTTTCAAAAAATAAAAAATTGTATTTTTTTTACCTTACCGTGTCGCGGCGGCATTAACATAATGGGAAACAAGTGAATTGTTGCGAGCCCTGCCGGAATGACATTTGACCGGTGAAAATATAAAAAAAATACTGGTTTGCCAACGAGGCACACACACTACACTCTATAGTCCTCCCGTTTTGGAAGTTCGGACACATTCATTTTATATGATGTATATGTAAACCGTATGTACACAGCTTGTACAGACGGATGTATACCTACATATTTTGTATATACTCGTGTATGTATGTATATTTAAAAATCCGTCGGTTAGGTCCAATCTAATCTATTGCGTTGGGGTTACACACACACACACACGAGATTGACCTTCCGAGGCCATCGTTGTTGGTCGATCATCAGCTTTTTTTTTCTTGCTTGCCACACTGTTGTCTTGTGCACAATGGTTTCGATAATAGTATCCAAAAAAAAAAAAAAAAAATACACTCCTCGACAAAGGCATTTTTTTTTTTTACCAGATTTTGCTGTCGCCGATTTCCAGCGAAACAACAACACAAATAATATGTTACAAATAAACAACACACTTATTATGTAATATATATTATGATTTGATATAGGTAATTTTTTTTGTTATTTGCTATTATAATACACGGTTTGTAAAAAAATCGGTCGTCGACGATTTGTACAGATTGCGTTGGTCATATTATATTATTATTATTTTATTTACTTTTATATACAATAACGTTCACTCGACTGACCTACATTTGGCACAAAGAAATAGTATAATCTTGACGGTATAGGTTTGTGTCGAGCGTTCATTGTTTCAACCACAATATTGGGTTGTATACCTATTTTTTATTGCACGGTAACAATCGATTGAAAAATATAATAATTTCACAATGATAATATAATGGTAATGACTGTATTATGTATATATTTTTTCCCAAGTGATTTTCTATCATTCCCCATTCCTCCCCCCCCCTTAGGTTATAATAAGCGCGAGTCACACTCTGCAAGGTCGACTATTATTTTAATTTATAGACCCGAGACGACCAACCAATATGTCATACATGTGTTTATTAGGTATATTAGTAAAAAAAAAAAAAACTGTTTTTTTATTATCGCGGACGGAATACTAAAAGATGTTACATGTGTTTTTTACCTTTTTAACGGTCTCGTTATCTCTCAATAATTGAGAGTTACGTGTAAAAATTTTTATTTTATTTTTTTATTATCGTGAATCTCTTCAGTGAACTCCAGCATTGCATATTATAATATACGACTGGCTAATGTCGTGACTTGTTGCCGCGCGGTTTTTTTTAATTATTCTCCCACCCGTCGGTGCAATAGGTTAAGCGGAACTTGTTTCACATGTCCGTCCGTTTGAGGTTACTTGTTAAGAAGTCGATAAATCTCGAATATTTTTAACGGTAATGGCACAATCTCGAACAACGGTAAGACGTTCAAGTAGTTCTGTCAAAGAAAGCTTTTTGGGCAACGCATCAAACGTATTGACTGTTTTCGGAAAAGGACAACGTTTGTATTTTTTGAATTTTTCCCAATGTTTTTTTGGAGCAGTGCTGTTTGATAATAATATGATATGGCGCAGATTTTAGCTAATTAATATTGTTTTCCCTCAACGCTGGTATAAATACTAAAAGAAAATGTGGAGGGAGTAGTCCTAAGGAAATGCCAATAATCTAAAGGCCACAGTTAAGGCACTTTTCTGACTCTGTAGGTTTTTAGAATTCCCCCCACTGTAATTGCTCCAAGACAAGTTCTTATGGTGATCTATGTTGTTTTTCTTGCTTATCTTCGGTATGTATGGGGTTTTCTTATTCTTCGTACATCAATATGTTAATAAATTATATGTTTGCGATTTTGTAATCAGATTTCAGGCAGACATGATTTTCTCAACGGAGAATGTGTGGTCTTTGGAGAAGTTACATTATTTACTGATAATCCGACGTTAAGAACCCGCGGTGGATCAAATTGCGGTTTCTGAGACCTTCCGATTTCCGTTAGGTATTCGAGCAGCAACGTGTGTGTTTCGCGTTTAATCTTAATACTATCTCGTTGATTCGTCCATAAAATACAAGTTTAAATAACAACATATTGTATTATATTAAGCATTTGGCACACGGTATACCTCGAAATCCGTATACAGATGTCCGGTAAGCTCCTATCGCATGTTGTATCCTTTCAAGTACCTGCTTAAACTTCTAAAAACAATGGGTACAAGTAATACGATCAAGATCTATGGGTTAATAATTCGGCGACAACTCAAGTGAAACTAGCGGTCTGCAGGTGTTAGGCTGAGGCATAATATGTATTTTCGTGACTTTAATAGTGGGTTTTAAGTCTGAATTTCCCACAGCCCCTATCCAAAGGAGTGTGTGGTTTTGCCCACAGCAGCGGACCTTGACATCCCCCCAGGTAAAAAAAGCAACTACCGCGACTATACTTGGGTTGAATTCCGCCATGCGTGACACCCCAGCAACAGCCCGTTACCGAATTTAATTTGGTTATACTTCCAAATGGTGTAGTTTTAATTGTTTTCCGGACAAGCGATAATGACGATATTTAATTCGAATAACAACACCGTGGAAGTGTCCAATCGGTACAAAATACTACAACGTTTCTTTGGAAAACTGAAAAACCCTTTGCAATTAAAACAGTTGTAACTTAAATCCCTATCTCAACTTGACAGGACAGAAAAATATCAATTTCGATTACCATTCAATAACCGTGTTATCAATTATTCGATTATAATGTTATCTATTGGCTTTATCATAAATCTGTGGCCGCCAGCTGTAGATTTCCCGCGCAAATTGAAATAAAACAGTGTGACCAACTTGATTGGCAAAAAAAATGGTAAATAAGGTGTTACATCCTGTATTGCGACGATATCAATAGAAATACCTATATCTTACCTCTACGTGTCGTTCGAGATGTGTTTGATAATTCGAAAATAACCGTTATTAGTTTTTTCAAGACGTGAGTCGTACAACCTCTCCAAAATTAATATGATTTGATCGCGATCAGAGTTGCGTAAAAAAAAAATATATAAGAATAAACCACCAAAGCAATATTTTAATTGCGACACGGCGACTGCGGAGAAAGTGTGCCGCCGCCAATCTGATTTATTATAATTGATACCAGCTCAGATACGTCTTATATGTATATATACACAGCTCGCATACACACACACAATGGTCCATTGCAAGTATGTGGCACCAGAATAGGGTTTCATTAAGAAAAAAAACAATAGAAAAATCGCCGCTAAACG